CGAATGCACCTTACATAGTCCAAATGAAGGACAGAAGTCTAACCATAAGTCTCGGTCAGAGACACGCACACACTTACGACACGGGTTCCCCGGGACACACGCAGGTTACGCGTAAATAGAGTAGGATTTGCATGTGCAGGTATTTGACTCTGACGGGTAGTATACAGGATTAAACATTTACCATACTTATTCCTCTGTCTTTCGATACACAGTTATTTAAAACGTCTGAGGTGACTCAAGACATCAATTGACGTCATTACAATGCCTCTGACATGGAGGTCCTGGCGGTGGCAGTATTTTTGACATGGCAGGAAACGTTCAGAAAGAAAAATTAACATAGAAATAGGAAAGCACCCAATTTACACAATTCGAATGCTTTTTTAATTTCTTGGTTAATTTTTCTTTATGAATAAGTACATCCATTTCTTTTGTACGTAATAAACAACTTACATGTTTCTGGAGTGTTTCTATGCTTTTGCAATGCAAATTTTTGCCTTGAAAGCATTTTTCCAAACCAAGTTTTAAGTTCTTATAGCGGCTTAGCCATTCAAAGCAACCAAGTGGTTTATTGGACAAAATATGCTTAAAATTGTTTTAACAGCTTATTTTCGAAATTTCGATGTTCCCTTCCCGGACACGTCGTATATATATATATATATATATATATATATATATATATATATATATATATATAATATAAGGTCGATAAGGAAAGTTGAAGAAAAAGCTAGAACCCATGGTGGAAAGATCTTCCATTATACTAGAAAAGAATCGATCAAGCATCTGTATATTGAATTCTGATTACTTCAGACGAAACTTACGTTCGTCAATGTAAATGCTTGTTTTTACATGTAAATTTTACTGCCAAGTCTACAGCATTGCGTAACGTTTAAGTTTGCATTATGAACGAGGTCTTCCTCACGCTAGTTGGCATTCACAGAAGTGAATAGTGGCCGAATTTCGTTGGCCCTGGCCTGTGCGCGCTGCTGGGCGTTGTGAGCAGCCGGAAACGCCCGTTTGGGACCAGGGCCTCGTGAGCCAGGGTGAGCGCTGCGCTGGGGCCGCGAAGGCTTTCGCGTTGGCCCCGTTTTTTCATTCGATCGCCCACTGTTTCCGGATTCGTTTAGTCGGCTGGCGTGCTTTAGATATCTGAAGGCGGTCTTGCTCTAATTGTTCTTCTCGTGCGTTTGTTGAGAAACGGCACCCACGATGCTGCCAGCTTAAGTGTGTTTCGGAGTCCTAAAGAAAAATGTTCGAAATTATTAGCATTTCATTACGTGACATATTTATTTTAACAATATTAATACTTCATTATAACTTTCATCATTCATTGCGTTTTGATTTTGTACACATGAAAAATTGCCAAATTTTCCAAGAATTAACCAAGTATGAAAGGATGCTGATTTAAAAATGGAGCGTTCGTTAGAAGCAAATCCAGCGAGAACTAGGTGAAGTATTGCTTGCGATACTACTAAAATCTGATTTCCAGCAATGTCACTTAAGCTTTGAAACTTAAGTGAGTGGATGCTATTATTTTTTTGGGGGAGGGGTGTTATTATAACCGCGTCAATTGAGGTTTCTTAGCGACCCTTCAATATTTGACTTATCATCGGTTAAATATACCGGTCACTGATTACAATAACTGTGAGGTTATTTTAATAATTCATACCTCGGCACCCAGACTTTATTAGTATGATAACATGAACAGGAATTCACTTATATTTTATTAAAGATATTAGTATTCTGGCAAAATCTTATAATATTCTGTTGGTAGGGCTTGTAATGAGTGATAGTTTCAAATTATTGCTCTGGGGAATTTTATTTTGTCCAGTACGTGAATTTCTTTGAATTACTTCAGCAGCTTTTGTGAATCCCTTTCTACTAAGAATAAAAGTGTGCAATGCTTTCTTTGAGAATATGAATTTGATAAATCATAACGTTACTGTTTCATTGGAACTCAAATTCCTTGATACCTAATATTTCTTGTTGTGAGTAAGCAATAGTGAAAATATGCAACTCGTAATATTATGAAACAGGAACAACACTGTTATTTTTTGTATCTGCTTACAAACCATTAATGCGGGTGATCTGGGCTGTCCGGGTGATGCCGCGTCGAAGGCTGAGTTGCCGACGTTTCGACCATTCTGTCGTGGTCTTCCTCAGGGCTGGTATGGTATGATATTACCAGCCCTGAGGAAGACCACGACAGGATGGTCGAAACGTCGGCAACTCAGCCTTCGACGCGGCGTCACCCGGACAGCCCAGATCACCCACATGACTCTGGTCGCGGAAGCCTACGACTTCAAACCATTAATGCGTTTTTCTTTGCGCTGGAAATTAAAAGACGTGGGTGTGTTATTTGCTTATAGTGTTATCCTCATCACTACTCTTCTTTATTTATTTACGTTGTTAGCAACCTAAACGGACATATTTTTCAATGAAAATTGAAGTAAACATAAAAAAGCACACACTTTTAAGTTCACAGCAAAACTATTTCGAATTATTTTATTTTCATCTCCCATAAGTTATCTGATCACTAGGCTATACTAAAATATGTCAAAATTCCGTGCATGACTCTTGGCCATTCATTTCCATTCATGGCCAATGCCTTCCAGAAAAGCGTGAAAAATATGGAAGAGCTCCGGCTTCCTTTTAAGTGTAAGATAAAAGTCCGATGGTGTCAGCTCTTCAAGCTCTTTCGCAATTTTCGCAATTCTCCTATCTATTGTAATTTTGCGAGAACATAAAAATGTAACTGGTGTAAAGTAATTTTGAGTGAAATTCGATTAGGTGCATTTACATTTGTTCGAAGCTACTGAACAGGTAAGAGGAATTGATGTTTTGTATCTCTAGCGTTCGACTAAATAATATTAAACGTATGTAAATCTCGCGTATTTTTGTTGGCGGATGAATAATTGAATTAGTTAGGTTTACGGTTATTCCAGCGAGTCATTTAATTTAGAACTGAAGGAAAATAAATCGTTCATGTCCCAATAAGCGTATTTCATGCAGCTAATCTTCTAATAGTGCTGTCACCGCAATTTCCCTGGCGTAGAATCAGCAAAACACCTTTTCCCGAAAAACCAATCACCCCTGAATCAACGCTGGTTCAGAAGTTGTACGATCAATTTTCGTATTATTATTCACCAGTGATAATTACCCAGATTAGATTATTTGACTTTCAAGTTTCACTATGACGTGTTTACGGGGATAGGATGACTTCTTTTTCACTTGGGCATCTCGGTCCTCATATACGCTGCGATGTTATCATCCGTGTTGCAAACATTTTCTAGCGCTCCATTCGTTCACTGAGTCGATACTCGTGCAAAACTCAACTCTACTGGTTCCCACTCCGTGCATGTGATAAAGAACCGTTCTGTCAGGTGTTTGTCGCCCAATGAGCACCGTACGACTCGTTCCCCGCGTTTGGGAAGTGCGGTCACGGTGTCAAAGCGGTTTCCCTTTCTATCGAATGTAGTACATTAGCCGGCTGATAGCGTGGTTTGCGCGCGTTGCCACCCTGGGCACGAACTCTATCGCGCCCGCGACGGCCCCGAGGCCGGAGAAAGCGCCCCGCGGCACCGTTGCAACGTTGGCCCCGCAGGCGGCCAAGGAGGCAAGGCACTGCACGGCGGCGGAAGGGTTGATAGATTGTTTCATGTCTCCGGGTGTGATATCTGCTGTGGTCGCATGTCCCGTACATACGGGACACCTGTCGGGCATGCTTTTATGACATGAGGTGGTGGTGTTCGTCCCCCGCCTGATGATTGGTTGATTGATTGATTACTAGTAATTCCGGGCACGACAATGTCATTAGTCCCGTAAGTGTAGTGAATATTTTTTTGCTCGAGAGGTGGCGGTGATCTTTACACCGCTGGATGGCGAGATCGGGCACCGACCTTTACCTACCGTCGGCTAGCGGGGTTTTCCTCCACCAGATATCTCTTACCAGCGGGTCGTCGCCCCAGCAGAGACAAGTTCAAGCTCCTGACCGGTCTGCCGGCATGGGTGCTTGTATAGTGCGTGTGAGTGTAAGTGTGTGTGTGTGTGAGGGGAGAGGATAGGACAAGGGAGAGGAAGTGAGATCGTGCGCAGTCCGTGGTCCGTTTGTTATGTTACTGCTTCGGCATTCGCTTGGTGTTGATAAGAGAAACTACGGAAAACAACCGATCAGAGCAGCCAGACGCTAGACTTCTCCTCCATTCTCTTCTCCTCACCGGTCCTGTTCCTAAGGTATAAGCCGATGGGTGCTCCTTAAAAAAGGTTACTAGAATCTGTAGAATTCTAAAGAGTACAATGTTAGTATGTACTAGCTGAAGCCGGCATACGTTATCCTGCCCTCCATATCCCTCTCCTTCTTCATTTTGTCACTCTCTTTCAGTATCACACTCCTTTCTCTGATTGTTTCTCTCTTTCTCTCTGTATTTGCCTGCGTATATCTGCCTCTGTCGGCCTCTGTCAATCTCTGTCTCTCTATATATCTGTCTCTCTCTGTCCCTCTCTATCTGGTCTCTATCTCTTTGTCCCTCTGTGTCTGTCTGTCTCCCTCTGTCTGTATGTCTCTCTCTTTCTCACTCTCATTCTCCGTGTCCGTCTCTCCCTGTCTTTCTGTCTGTCTCTCTCTCTCACTTTCTCTCTTACTTTCGCGCACTGCTCTCCTGACCTTCTCGGCCTTGCCCTGCGTCACACGGCAACGCTTCGAAACAATAAAGCTCAGGTGACGCTCAGTTTGAATGGAAACTGAATTAAAATAAAGCGCAATCTTGAGCTGTAGCGCCATCTAGTGGAGTTACAGAAAAACTAAAAGCTTATAAACCTTCTGGGTAAAAAACACTTTGATGTGCCAACTTTCATGTAGATTGGCTACAGGTGACCGAGATCACTGCTCTGGTACATATCAACATCCAATTTTATATATATATATATATATATATATA